CTCGATGCCCGCCACATTTCAATTTGGCGTGGATAGAGAACGTGATCGATTTGTTTGCTCTCGTTGGACACCTTATTTGGTTCTCGATTGCGTGAGTGCTTTTGGTCGCATATTTGAGATTTACTTTGTTATACATTTTGTAATGTTTGCTTAATCAAGTTCCGTAAGACACTACGAATCAATCGCATTTCGATTTGGGATCCGTATCGAATTTGGTTACGTGTCACTCAAGTGTGAGTCTTCTGACATGTACGCGGTATGTGAAGATCAATTTGAAATCTTGAAAGAGTAAATCATAAGAGATAACCGGAAAATCATGAATCAACTGAGGTAAGGTGTTTGCAGGAACAACCCTGTTAACTAAATGCAATTCTACGAATGAACACTTTAGGTGAAGAAGACAAACAAATAGTTTCGTGAAATTACCGAAAATTGCACAAATATGGTCTGACCATATGGGGTTAAGGTTTATAAAGTGACACTACTAGTCCCGGAATATACCAGAGACACAAATTGAATGAAAAACACTCATATATTTGTCAGAAGGATCAGCAGATCGATCGTACTGATGCGACACCTAGACTTTCATCAGAACTCTTCCCCGCACCCCCACACACCAATAGATAGCGTTTTGAGCCTCATGCACAGGAATGAATATCGTAGACTATCGTAGACTAGGCATAACGTATCTGTAATACGACTTATTAGACTGTTTCTATCAGTGGATTTCTCAATTTTGACGAGTTTTCGGCGCACCATTTGTAAGATAACGAAACCTCCGTGGAAAAAGATCATACGGATTTCTTTATAAAAATGACTCATAGGCATGAAAAATGAACTGAACTTTCTGTTTGTCAATACCATTTGACAATTTTTATTTCTGAGCACTAAGACGAGTAGTTTAGGAAAAGGGTTTCACCAAATTGACAACCAAATCGCATTTTTCCGTTACCACCAATACACACTGCATCCTGGCCACTGATGACCACTCTCCAGATCGCTAACTTATTAGGTAAAGTGAATCTCAGTTGCACCTCGGGGGAAGACTGGATTACCGGATACGCATACCTGACGAGCCGAAAGGACAGCGAAACTGGTTGTGTGCTCCTGGGAAATTTTGTCCAATCATTCATGTACAAATCATTATAGCTAACTTAACTCTCTTTCCAACACTGTTCATTGTACTCGCTGTTCATTAGGATAGTCTGACGTGTTTGAAAGAGTTAAGGGAAACTCACTGTCCGCGGTGGAGGGGGTAAGACCAAAAGTGTCTAAATCGGCTGAATGCATTGAGTTTTGGATGATCACTCAGTGCTGGTCTATACATGATGGGATAGTAGCTAACCTTACGGCTAACTCCTTTTGATAGTCCACAAAGCACAAGATCGGAGAGTTTCAAACGATCAGGCTGTTTACGTCAGATTTTTGCGCAGTCATCAAACCGTACCAAAAAATGAGCGCAAAACAGTGCGTGGTTAGAGCTAAAAAGCAAACAAACAGAGTAATCTGAAAGGGAAATGTTTGGATGAGCCCATTTGTTTGTTTTTCCACAGGCACGAGACATTGTGAATGATCTTGAATGTGGATATCTATCACTCCTTAGGAGATCGTCAGTTTCGCACGAGGTAAATGCATTTAAATACAATGAAAAGATGTGTGATGATCAACAAAGAGCGCACTGGACAGCAGCTGTTTCCTCCTGTTTTGGAGGACTCGTCAGCAGTGCGCGTACTTTTCGTGTTCTCTTTTAGGACTCGAACAGCGGACGTTCTTGTTTGAGACTTCAAACACTTATTACTCCTGAGATACACGGCGACAGTTATCACCTTGTACGAATGGCTCAATCAATCTGGACGGGAGAGGGATGTTTGAATCAACCTATTCGGTTGTTTTCACAGGCATCAGACACTGTATGGTCCAAACAGAACGAAGCTGTGCATTTGAAATAAAAACAGCACATTATTACTACTCACAAGTAGTCATGTTATATTTTCAAAAGTTTACTGCCGGTTAGAGGAGAGTTGTTTGTTCGGAACAATGATACGTGTAGGGATAAATTGGGTTACACAGACTGAAGCGTTCAATCTGAAACAGACCAAACAGAATTTCAATAAGCAAGTAATACATATGATAGATATGCACTTTGATCGGACCTTCGACCCAGTGGTGATGGGGCTTCTACGGGCACCCTGCCCTCAATCCTGAAGACAGATGCAGCTATACTTGGGTACACATTAATTCGCTCCGCAAGGCCTAGTTCATTTTTGACCACCACCAATCACATCCTCTTTCGAGCGCCAAAAACCTATTAAACGCAAATATGAGCAGTACCTCACAAGATAAAGATATTTGGAATGCTAGGAACAATTGGATAATACGTCAAAATTCCAAGAGGAACGAAGCTGACGGAATACAACTGTAATTGTAATTTATTTGTTCGAAGGAATGCAGGACTCGATCACCCGACGAACGTTTCGAGAGATAAAATAGTCCATGTTCAGTACAATGAGCAGACGGTAGATCCGGGACTCCTAGCATTCTTCAACTACGCATTATCACTGGTATTTGATGCCCCAAGGCACCTCCTTGATAGATTCAAACCGCTCCCGAAAAAGTAAAACGATGCCAGATGCCAAGCCAATAACCTCTGACTAATGGAATCCGTGCAAAGGCACAACACAGGCACAGGAGAGCTTCCACAATACAATATGATTGGACACCAGACAACAACAACAACAACAACAACAACAACAATAAAAATTCTTATCCAATTACTTTAGATCTAAGCGAAGAAACTAACCTGCAGGCGGTTCACAGCTAGTTCGATTCTGGCGACCATGGATCGAGCACAGGGATCCGAACCGGTGGGTGTGCAATCAGACCCGTGACGGGACAAAATCCGAACCGGGGAACGGAGGAAGAGTAGGTCACAAAATTTCCCATTCCTCACGCGGTCCAGTGGATTCGCTTTGTCCAAATCAACCAGAAACTGAGTCAGGCGTCTTCGGGGTCGGGGAAGTTCTGGACAGGATGAGAAGACAAGTGTGTTTAATGTGCGGAGAGCACAAAGTTTTGACTCATACATTCACAACACGACTAGAAGCAATTAGATATGAGGCTATCACCAACCAACCAGACACCATCAAAATGGTACCTCGATAAACGTAATATAGAGCACGGAAGTGCAAGGTCCCTGCATGTTCGTCGACTGGTAACTGAACAAAAATGACAAAGTCGGTTCCTGATGTTACGAAGACTCTTATTTCACAGACGATGGGGCGAGTTTGTTTTCTTACCAGGCTATTGCCAAAAACCCTGATTCCAAGAGGAGGCGTACGAACCACACTCACACCTTTTCGGTTGTGGTAGTGAACACTGACTCGATTGGGCACCTTGGACGTTTGACCCCGTCCAAAGGGTGTATGATCCGATG